ATCACATGATCAAAATCCGGACGCTTGGCAATGGTCTCATATTTATGATGGTCGCGGTGTCCCGGGGCCACCTGTATCCCCCATTTGCAACCTCCTGACAAGCGAAGTCCGGGGGGGGGGAGCCAGATTCATTTAACAACCATGCTATTAGTTTAACAACCGCATGATTTACTTAGCAACTGTGGCAAGAAAGGCTGCAAAATGGGACAAAATTCACTTAGCCACTGTCTCTCCTAGCAGTAGGAACTTTGGACTCCGTCGTACGTCGTATGCTGAGGACTATCCTGTGCTTTCTTTTGCCAGGCCCCCCAAGACGTTCATGTTTAGTAACCCAGTCATTTGCCCAGAGCTGGATTTTGATTTCTAGAATTTGGGTGAGACGATGAATATAGTCCAATTATTCACTGGGAGATCCAACTAGCAACAGACTCACTGCTGACAGCTCTGGAAAAAAAAATTACAAACATATTTCAGCCTCAACCTTTTGCTTAACGTTTCTAAATATTTCAAGCCATCCCTGTAACAACAAATTAATTTGGGGAGAAATAGAGCTTCAAAGAAATGGAAAGTGACGGACAATTGCTAATTTTGACCAGCTGTTCAGTCATGACAACCCAGTTGTGTCCTGCTGTGGCAATTAAGGCCGCCCCGTTAAGTTTCATTGCAAATGATAACCATATATTTATTGCACCAAAATTGCATGATATTGTGTTTATTTAGGAATCGGTTTCATTTCTGTGCTTTTTTCCTCTAAGAATCGTAAATTTCAATCTTCTGCAAAAGAATTAGTTAAGTCCGGGTAATAAAACTGTGGTTTACTCGACTTTCAATTTTTATTTTCTCTTCTTTTCCTCATTTCCCAACTGGTTAAAATCGAGAGCTATGTGTATTCCTTTTAACAAGCAACAGCTTGTAATTCCGTGTCTTCTCCCTTCATTGGGGGAATTAATATTTTAGCCAAAATCGCCTCACATCCACTTTTTAATGCCATGAAAATAGCAAGCAAGTGGCATTTTTTCTGTGGGAAAATTTATGCCCCAAAGAAATTAGATGAAAGTCATTTCAAGTGCTTCAATATTGCTCTGTTTAATTTGAAAAAGCAAGTAATGTGCAGGGCTCAAATTTCTCCCCTGAATGTATATTCTTGTTTTGCTTTGCAAAATGGGGACCGTTGCGAGTATTACAGGAAATTGGCCATAGTTAGTCCTTGACTTACAACCAGGGGTGGGATTCAAATTTCTTAACAACCGGTTCTGTGGGTGTGGCCTAATTTGTGGATGTGGCTTGATGGTCATGTGACTGGCTGGACATGGCTTGTATGTAAATATTATAAATATTTATGTAAATGTTGAATTTTTTTATATAAAAAAGCAACTTTTACCCAAAATCAGGCAGAGCAGGCAAGCAGATTGAGTTGCTTGCAGAATCTCAGATTCACTTAGAGATCTATCTTTCTGCAATCTGCTACCTGAGTCGGTCACATAAAATTTGCTTGCAAGCAAACTCATAAAATTAACTCACAACATACCATGTATGTAAATATTGATTTTTTTTATTAAAAAGAGCAACTTTTACCCAAAATCAGGCAAAGCAGGCAGGCAGATTGAGTTGCTCACAGAATCACAGATTCACTCAGAGATCTACCTTTCTGCAGTCTGCTACCTGAGTCTGTACTGAAAAATAAAAGCTTCAATCCTAAGGAAGGCTCAGCTCTGCTTTTAGATTAGTTAGAAAGCAAGAAATCAAACGATTTCCTGCTTTCTTGCTAATCTAAATCTCCTGGCACAGCAGAACAGCTGATGGTCGGAAAAAAAAGAAAGAATAGCAACTTACCAAATGCAGGCAAGTTTGATGGTGCACATGCCAGGTAAGGAGTGAGTGGACGAGGCGGGGACGGGTGGGGCCAGCCAGTGGCACGATTTGCCAGTTCTCCGAACTGCGCAGAATTGTAACAACTGGTTCTATAGAACTGGTCCAACCAGGTAGAATCCCTCCCCTGCTTACAACCACAACTAACCCACAAATTCCCTTTTGTTTTTGCCAAAGTTGTTAAGCAATTCATGCCGTCATTAAGTGAATTTGGATTCCCCCATTGACTTTGCTTGTCGGAAGCTGGATGGAAAGATTGCAAATGGCACAACCCTGAAACCATCATAAATATGAGCCAGTTGCCAAGGATTCGGATTTTAACTACGCAATGGTTGTGAAAAATGTTCAAAAGTCACTTTTTCAGGGTCGTTGTAACTTTGAGCGGTCGCTAAATGAATCATTGTAATCAAGGACTCCCTGTTGAGGAAATTGGCTAGCAGCATCCTTGACTTAACAACCACAATTGGAAGTGGAATTTTCATCATAGGTTCATATAGTTATGAGTTGAATCAAACCAATTTTACGGCAATTTTTCTGATGGTTGTTAAAGTGAACCGTATGGTTATTAAACAAATCAACATGATCTTTTTAAGTGAATCCTGCTTTTCCCCAGTAGGTGTTATTTGATGTTTTACTGGAAACTGGCAAAAAATGCCACAAATTGTGATTATGGAGAAATTTCCTGACAGTGAGAACAATTCACCAGTGGTTTTTAAGAAGAGACTGGACAACCACCTGTCTAAAATAGCATAGGGCAGAGGTGGCTAACCTTTTGGGGCTCTTGTACCAAAAATTGTGTGTGTGCTTGCATGCTTGCCGTCGTGCGCCAATCCCCATCCACCCACCCACTCCGCCACCCCCTTACCTGCACTGCGCCTCACAGCTGATTTTTGGCGGGATTGAGGCCTTTTTCGGCCTCCCAAAGGCTTGAAGGCTTCTGCAGGCTTTGCAGGCCGAAAACTAGCCCCGTTTCGTCACTTCCAGTATTTTCGGAAAAACAGGAAGTCATGAAACAGGGCTAGTTTTCAGCGTGCAAAGCCAACTCAACATTACTTCTTTGCCCTAATTATATATATGTATGTATGTATGTATGTATGTATGTATGTTGTGGCTCTGAGGCTTGAGCCTGCACTGTTAGAGGAAGAAGACTCAGACGATGGGGAAGAGGAGGAATTGGGAATGCCTTCCTCCCCAGGACCTTCCTCTTCGGCAATGCCTTCCTCCCTGATTGTGCCTCAGGTGTCAGCAGATAACCGAGAGGGACAGCCTGAAGGCTAATCAGGAGAAGGAGGAGGGCATATCGGAGCAGCCTCTGACAGAGAATCAAGTAGACGAATGCTGGCTTGATGCTAGACAACGTCACAGGAAAAAGTGTGAGCTGCAACGCAGGAAGCGGGGACGAATCAGAGACTGAGCTAAGTGATTGACACACCCCGCAGGGGATAAGAGTGGGTGTGTTTTCTCTGAGAGCTCCGTACGGGACAAAGTGTGAGTTTTTCTGTGGAGCTTCGGTGTATCCTGTTTATTGAAAGCCTTCATGATTTATGTTCCTGTTATCTTGTCGGACTTGGCAGGCAGCGTGTGTGAAACTGCCAAGAACACTGCCTGCTTCAAAGAATTAACTCTATAACTACTGAATCTTCTTGCCTGCCTGTATTTTGTCAGAGTTGTGGACTTTCCATCCTCATTGGAAAGGTGAGACATTTTATATATATATATATATATATGTATATATATGTATATATATGGATCTTTGGTTGTTCGGGTTTTCTCCCGCGTAAGATTGGAAGTATCTAGGCAACATTTCGATGAAGTCTCATTCATCATCTTCAGGCTTCTGTCTTC